AAAAAAAAAAAAAAAAAAAAAAGGCCCTCCCTAACCACTCGATCAATAGAAAAATCACTTCTATCCATGCCATATTACATGCTCCTATTTCCTTCACAGCACTCACCACTACCTGAAACCGTTCTGTTTATTATCTTCCCCCAAACACAACAGAATGCCAGCTCCATTAAGGCAGAGAGCCTTCACTGAAGACCAGTGACAGTGACTAGAACATAAGACATTCAATACATGTAACTACATAAAATGCTGTACTGCTATTTAAAATGTAAGCTCAGCTAAGTACTGGGGGTCTTTTTGTTGTTTTGTTTTTTCGAGACAGAGTTTCACTCTGTCACCCAGGCTGGAGCACTGTGGCACGATCTTAGGTCACTGCAACCACCACTTCCCGAGTTCAAGCCATTATACCTCAGCCTCCCAAGTAGCTGGGATTACAGGCGCATGCCACCATGACACCCGGCTAAATTTTGTATTTTTTTTTTTAGTAGAGACAGGGTTTCACCATATTGGCCTGCCTGGTCTGGAACTCCCGACCTCGTGATCTGCCTGCCTTTGCCTCCCTAAGTGTTAGAATTACAGGTGTAAGCCAAGGCACCTAGCCTCAGCTAAGTATTTGCCTCTAAACATTTGTAATTCACTCTTCATGTAATTATATAAATTGAGTACTTGTAGAAACCTGGGCCAGCTGTTACCAAGAATCTGTAGGATGTAGGAAAGAAAAAACCAGAGGTATAAGACATTCAAATGTCACTCTGGACTTTTACTGAACAATAATCACAGCTTTCTGAAAAATCATTCAGGATGATTTTTTAAATGTTATCAGGAGTAATAAAAAAAAATTCATTTTTATTACCATCTGAAAGCTATTAAAGCTTGAGTAATTAATATCTACAATGCTACAGCAATAGCAATAATATGTGGAACAACAATCAGGTTTCTGTTTATTTGTTTGTCTTCAAAGAGTCTTGCTCTGTCACCCAGGCTGGAGTGCAGTGAGTGGCATGATCTCAGCTTACTGCAACCTCCACCTCCCAGATTCAAGCCATTCTCTTGCCTCAGCTTCCCAAGCAGCTGGGACTACAGGCACACACCACCACGCACAGCTAATTTTTGTATTTTCAGTAGAGACACGGTTTCACCATGTTGGCCAGGCTGGTGGAACTCCTGACCTCAAGTGATCTGCCTGCCTTGGCCTGCCAAAGTGCTGGGATTATAGGGGTGAGCCACCATGCCTGGCACACAGTTTCATCATAGGTTTTATCCATATACCTATCATGAGGGAATTGGTGCTTTCAGTACAGCATTTCTTTCTGGGGATTGGATTATGACGAATACAACAATGAATATCAAAAACCTACCTAGATACACAAACCATTAAATTTGGAACCTAGAGAAAACCAGAGTTACCTATTCTACAATTCTCATGTAAACAGGGAGAGCTGAAGCCCAAGGAGGGTTACCAATAAACTGGCAGATCTTATGTATAGCATGCAAAGATAGATCTAAAATCTAGATCTCCTGTCTCTAGCCCTAAGATTCATAAGATAATGTTACCCACAGAATGTTAATGTCAAGTTATAACATATTTTAACTGCTATCGTTTTTTAGACTGTCTTTTATTTCCTATTTAAGTCTTAGCCCAAAGGTGGAGAAAAACTCAAAAGAAGAGCACATATAAGCATGCCTTAAGTAAAGCATGATACAGAAACTCCTTTTTAAACTACAACAATAAAAGAAACATCTAAAAATCTAAACTGTTTGATTCAATTAGTTTCTTTCACGTTTTAATTTAAAGTAAAATAACTACTTAGGAGTATCTGATAAGTGACCATACCTTAGCGTTACACAAGCAAGGAGCTGTTCTCTTAAACATCAGTATAGCTCTCTCTCAATAATCTGTAGAAATGGAGCACCAATGAGAAATTCGTTTACGGTGTAACCTCTGCTGTAACGCATTTTTCACCTAAAGGAAGTCACTTTGTTTATACCTTTCTTCAAAAACCAACTCTCTTTCTGGTGAAACAACTACCAAACAAGTGGCCAACAGACACCAAACAAAAGTTTTTTGTTTTTTTTTTTTTTTGAGACGGATTTTTTGAGACGGAGTTTCACTCATGTTACCCAGGCTGGAATGCAATGGCGCGATCTCGGCTCACCGCAACCTCCGCCTCCTGGGTTCAGGCAATTCTCCTGCCTCAGCCTCCTGAGTAGCTGGGATTACAGGCACGCACCACCATGCTCAGCTAATTTTTTGTATTTTTAGTAGAGACGGGGTTTCACCATGTTGACCAGGATGGTCTCGATCTCCTGACCTCGTGATCCACCCGCCTCGGCCTCCCAAAGTGCTGCGATTACAGGCTTGAGCCACCGCGCCTGGCCTCAAACAAAAGTTAAAAAGTGACAGAAACATCTACACACGATACAGCACCCGTGATAAACAAGGAGAGACTCACTCTTCCTACATTTTCCTATAATATTGTTCAGACCAATTTATAAACACCCTCACCAATTCTTACAATACTATTGTGAATCTTTGGTCACAAACAATGAGCAGGAGAGAGATGATAAAGTCATTTGTCCAAGGTTAAACGACAAGAAAGCGTCCTAAGTAAAATAAATCAAGTCTTTTAAAAAAATCAATTGAAGGGTATTTTAAAAGGGCTTGCTTCTTATCCATCTGTTTTACCTCACAAATATAATCAAAGACTAGGGTGAAACAATGTGGCTTATATTGACATGAAGATGTTTATGAAAATACATACAGTAACAAACTATCAAAAGTAATCTTTACTAATAAGTTCAGTGTTATAGAACTTGTGTGTGACATTCTCAAAATCACATTCAAGCATTTACAAGCATCTCCCCCTCTCTCTCTCTTTCTCTCTCTCTCTCTCACACACACACACACACACACACACACAAATGGGAAAGGAAATGGAACCTTAGCTTATCTTTTTACCAGTTTATTCTTTTCGTTGAAGAGGTTCCTAAAACAAGAAAATTGCAGATAAAATACCAAACGAAATAAAGTTTGGATTAAGTCAGGTTCAAAAGCTACAGGAACTCCCACAAAACGAAGTCTATGTCAGCTGGCATCTTACTATTCAAGAGAATTCTAAATTAATGCCCACATAAATCAAGAAACAGGAAAGCTTACAACAATACAATGGAGTCACCCCACACTACGCACATGAACAAATTAAATGAATACCCTATACTTCCTGGTATTTTTCGAATATCAAAACTTACACTTAGGTTGAGAAATACCCATGTGCAAAGATCTACTATAAGCTATTTAAGAATTGTTGTGACAAATCTCTTTCTGGAGCACTGAACAGATATTCCCACTACAGCACTCCCATTGACTCTGATAAATTATCTAAGGACAAAAGTAAAAACATCAAGCTTCTTTTTAAATGACCAACAAGCCAACTCCATACAAAATCTGACGCGTCTGTATTTCGGCTGTTCCGCGGACTACGTTTCCTTGATCACAGCAGCAGCAGGCGACTCCCTAGCCGTCAGGGCTGACTTAGCGCCCTCCAACTCCCCGGGTCCGGGTTACCTTCAACACTCCATTGTCAAATCGCACTCCCACGCCCCGGTCCTCAGCCCCCATCCGGAGACTCTAGGGAGAGTCGGAAGACGGAGAGAAATCCCCTCACCCACACTCCCTCCCTGTAGGCTGTGGGTGTGTCGGCAGACGAATGCCTTGCCCAAACACAAAACGTCTGCAAAGACGCAGACCCTCAGTCCCCACCGAGCCAGCGATAACCGGCCGGTCGCCGACCCTAGCCTTCCGCGGCCGCAGCCCTTCCTCTTTCTCCCCTCCAGCCCGGCCCCTCCCCCGGTGCGCGCACGCGCGGCCTCCAATGGATCCCCTCCCCCCTGTTCCCCTCACCTTAATCATTAGCCACCCTCTTCTCTTCCAGGGTCCGGGAATCACTGACCCAGGAAGGAAGACAGAAATGTAACGCGTGAAGAGTACTGCGTCGAGAGCCTGCTATATGCGCCTCAGACGTCGGCCTAATAGGCCCCGAGACTCAAGAGCAGTGTCTGTCACCGCCACCAAAACTGTACGTGCGGCAGCGCCTGGACTCGGCCCAGCTAACCCGGCGTGGGTTCAGAATGCCTAGTTTGGTCCCGCAAGAACTCCTTCTCTGAAGCTGCGGGCGTTTCTACGCTGCGCAGTCCGAACACCTCCCCGCCGTCGCCGCCACTGCCGCTGCTCCCCTGCCGCCGCCGCCGCCGCCGCCGCCTAACCAATTCCTACCCTACCGAGGAGAGCACGACACTAGGGGCCTTTACGACAGTTCGGAAAGTAAGAGCGCAGTAGCCTTCACGCCTCTATTAACATCTGTTTGTTTCTGCGCTTGCTCCATTCCCGTTTCTCACCGTCCCGCCCCCTCGGTCCCGGCCCTCCCCCTTTGTACTGGTTTTATCAGTCTGTTGGCGAAACTGAACGGTGTCACAAAGCCCATTATTTAATTTTATTTGGTGATTATGCTTTCAACATTTAATCCAAATCCTGACTACATCTTGATTCATTTTTTTCTAACTAAAAAGTTAACCAACTACAGAATTACTGACTATATACTTACAGATACACGTAAACAAAAACGTAATGGGTTAGTGTCCTTCACAATAAATGATATCCATATCATATGCGCTAATGACATAAAGATCACAGCACCTCACTGTTAAAACGAATTTGCTTCCGGAATCAAATCAAAAGTGGTAAGAGATATCCTGCTAACTGGCTGTACAGTCGCATAAGCTTCCTTGTTTATTTTATAAAACTCAGTAGACAACAAATGCTTCATTATAGGCATTAGGAGGATAGAGAGAGAGAGAATGGGCTTTAGAGTCCATCAGACAGACTTCCTTTCAAAAATCTAGTTATCGGATTTATGAGACCCTTATAAATCTTAGTTTCCTCCTCTATAAATTGAGATAACATATTTACCTCAAAAGCTTCTTGTTAGATTAAATGAGACGATATAATGCTCTGAACATTACTTGCCAATTAAGTGTTCACTAAACATTAATTCCTTCCCTATGCCACCAACTCATCTGTTTCAGTGCTTTTTGTGTTCACACATATGCTCCACGTCCTTCAAGAAAACAAATGATTTTGGCCGGGCGCGGTGGCTCATGACGTAATCCCAGAACTTTAGGAGACCGAGGCGGGTGGATCATCTTAGGTCGGGAGTTCAAGACCAGCCTGACCAACATGGTGAAACCCCGTCTCTACTAAAAATAGAAACTTCTGCCGGGCGTGGTGGTGGACGCCTGTAATCCCAGCTACTTGGAAGGCTGAGTCAAGAGAATCGCTTGAGCCCAGGAGGCAGACGTTGCTGTGAGCGGAGATCCTGCCATTGCACTCCAGCCTGGGCAACAGAGCAGGACTCTGTCTCCAAAAGAAAAAAACACAAAAATGATTTTTAAATTACAATAATAATCAAGGATAGCAGATTGTGTGGAGAAACTAAAAGAACATTTGACTAGGATTTTCCTCAATCCTCCTATTTTTTCACTCTTAAACATAGAATTTGCCTGGACTATCTTATCTTCTCCCATGGCTTTAACTGTTACTGCCTCATGACTTCTCAAACCTGTATTTCCAGCTCTACCCTTTTTT